GCTGCTGCTGCGGCTGTTGCTGCTGCGCTGCTGCTGCTGCTGCTGCTGCTGCAGGTCTTGCAACCCTGCGACATTCATCATCGCTGCCCCCTGGGCCGCTGCTGCAGCTGCTGCTGCCACTTAAAGAAGAAGCTTCATCTTCTTCGGAGTTGCTTCCGATATGCTGCTGCTGCTGCTGCTGCAGCTGGCGTTTGCTGCTTGGATGTGCATGCTGTCGCTGCCTGTGGGATCGATGCTGCTGCTGCTGCAGAAGCTGTTGCTGCTGTTGCTGCAGCAGCAGCTGCTGCTGCTGCAGCTGCTGCAGCTGCTGTTGCTGTAGGTGCTGCGGCTGCTGCTGCTGTAGGTGTTGCTGCTGCAGTAGCTGCTGCGGCTGCAGTAGCTGCTGTTGCTGTTGCTGCTGCTGTGTTTGCTGCTGCTGCTGACCTGGGAAAGACGCATAAGGCCCCTGCTGCCTCATTATACTAAACAGCAGCAGCAAATAGCAGCAGCAAACAGCAGCAGCAAACAGCAGCACCAAACAACAGCAGCACACAGCTGTCCTATCTTCCTAAGACTCTAGGGTTGAGGCTTTAGGGTTAAGGGTTTAGGGTTTAGGGTTTAGGGTTTAGGAAGATGTATATATAGTAGAAATACATTTTTGTTTGATTAAACTATATTTTCTTTGCTTTTTTAATTAACAATCCGAAGACAGCAGCAGCGGCTGCATGCAGCCCCAACCACACCGCATGCAAACGTATATTAAGGAAGCGAGTTTATAAAGAAGAAACATATTTTATATTTGTATTTATACTCTATTGGCTTGTCTGTTCTAGCCTGCAGAGGTATAGTAGCAGCAGCAGCAGCAGCAGCAGCAACAGCAGCAGCCGCAGCAGCAGCAGCAGGCTGAGGGTTGACGGGTTTGCTGCTGCAGCAGCAGCGCAGCAGCACTTTTCTTGCTGTACGAACTCATAACATTTACGCTGGTGCAGATGCAATCGCATGCAGCTTCCAGCGGCCCTCCCGCTGCTGCTGCTTCAGCAGCAGCGACTGCAGCAGCTGCTGCTCCAGGGGGGGGCGACGCAGCAGCAGCAGCAACAGCAGCAGAAGCGGAGAAGCAAGCTGCTTTACGCAGGTATCAGGAGCAGCAGCAGCGACTGCAGCAGCACCATAACCGCCGCCTTGGAATCAACTCTCCTGCTGCTGCTGCCCCCCCTCCTCCCGCTCAGCAGCAGCAGCAGCAGCAGCAGCTGCAGCAGCAGCAGCAGCAGCAACAGGCAGCTGCAAACGGCAGAAGCACAACCAACAACAACAACAGCAGCAGCAGCAGCCGTATGAGCAGGAACAGCCTGAGTCTCGCGCAAAGGCAGCAACAACAACAACAACAGCAGCAGCAGCAGCAGCAGCAAGAGGAGGAAGCAGGAGACAGCGAAACATCTTCAGATGAATCTGATGAAGAGACAAATAAAGAGTTAGAAGCTCTAAAAGACTTAGTTAACCGCATGGAGGACTTCAAACAAATGCTGCGAGAAGAAAACTTCGGCCCGTTTGCTGTCTATGAAAAGGTAAAGAGATTAAATAATTAATTAATTAATTAATTAATTAAATTAAATTAATTAATTAATTAATTAATTAAAATAAATAAATAAATAAATAAATAAATAATTAATTAATTAATTAATTAATTAATTAAATTAATAAATAAACAAATTAATTAATTAATTAATTAATTAATTAACTAGTTAATTATTTAATTTATTTAATTTATTTATCTATTTTGTTTATTTATTTATTTGTTTATTTATTTTATTTGTTAATCACTTAATTAATTAATTAATTAATTAATTAATTAATTAATTAATTAATTAATTATGTTTGCTTTTTCTTCTTCTCTTTATTTGTTTTTAATTAAATTGTTTAAATGCATGCAGCCTCAGTCTCTGCTTTTTATCGAATGTACCAGCACCTACATAAACAAAGCACACCCACCTGCTGCTGCTGCTGCTGCTGCTGCTAACGCTGCTGCTGCTGCTGCTGCTAACGCTGCTGCTGCTGCTGCTAAAGC